ATTATAATTAATGGAAAAGAAACACAGACCGTGAAAATTGCAGTGTTCCCTTCCGTGGGTGGCCAGTGAAAAGAATTGATGGTTAGTGGGATGAATAGCCCCTTGACTTATATTGGTGGTCAGTGGAGACGGGTCCCCTTACATTGGTGGTCAGTGGAGACGGGTCCCCTTACATTGGTGGTCAGTGGAGACGGGTCCCCTTACTTGGGTGGTCAGGGTTGGATTGCGCCTTACATTGGCAGTCATTGAAGGTATCCCCTTCTGTTTGTGGTCTGTGGAGACATGTCCTCTTAATTGGTAGCCAAGTGGACAAATGACCCTTGCAAGGGTGGTCAAAGTTGAGTTGCGCCTTACATTGGTGGTCAACAGGGCGAATGATGCTTACATTGGTGGTCTGTGAAACTGTGTCCCCTTATGCTAGTGGTCAGTGGAGACGTGTCCCCTTACATTGATGGCCAATAAGACGAATGACTCTTACATAGGTGGTCAGGGTTGGAATGCCCCTTACATTGATGTTCGAGGAGAAGAATGCCCCTTTTATTGGTGGTCCGTGGGAAGAATACAAACGGGGGAGTACAGCTTTATGTGAATGGAGCAGGGGAGAATGGTGGGAGCACTGAATATGGAGCTCTCCGTCTGTGTATAGAGATCAGGGAAAGATAGACGCATCCTCACTTCCTGCGCTTTCTAAGGAGATTACAGCCGCCGCTGCTCAGCGCATCCCTGTAGATAAACATCAACTTTAAGATTACTTGAAATAAGCTCGGGTATTAAAGTGAAATTCTGTGTCAGCTGCCACCTGGTCCCGTGACCTGTCCCAGTCTGGAGCACCAGAAGCACAAGACTGGTCAGGCCAGGACTGGACAAATCCCAGGAGCCAGGTCGCCAATGCTCCTAAAAATTACAACTGGTGCCCAACTTGGAGGTCATCAGTGAAGCTGGCTCCTAAACATGATCCTGGGGCTTCTGGATTGGGTAGACTGGCTCCTGATTTTCATATTCATTTGCCCACCCCTGGATTCGGCACAGTCCATTCATTGGCTGCTTTGATTACGCAAGGTGCTGAGGCGACCCCTAAAAATCCCACGGCCGATATCAAGTGATGGACGCCTTGGCAAAGGTCACCGGACCAGATGAAGGTCTATGCGGGGGGCTCCTGTTCTATTAAAGGGGTAGGCAACCTCCATACTATATGCCCCTCTCTGGGAGCCATGTCTGTCACTGTCAGTCTTACAATGCCTCATGGTGCTTTAGTTTTACCACAGCTGGAGTGCCAAGGTTGCCAAATCCTGAGGAAGGACGGAGGTCAGATAGAAGACTGAAGGGGAGGATGGAGGTCAAATAGAAGACTGACGGGAAGGACGGAGGTCAGATAGAAGACTGAAGGGAAGGACGGAGGTCAGATAGAATACTGAAGGGGGGGACGGAGGTCAGATAGAAGACTGAAGGGAAGGACGGAGGTCGGCTTTAAAGTGCCCTCAGACGTTTCCATCCAGTCACGTGATAGTATTAATTTTGGACCCAGAAAAGTGAGGACGTGTGACTACCTTAAAAAACAATAAATCTGACTTTAGATGGCAGAGGAAACAATAGAACATTTTTGGCTCTTTCTATAGATTCCTGTAACCTTTGTGATGGATTTAAATGACTTTTTGTATTCAATTAGGGACAAGAAATCATTATAATGTGTACAATGTAACAATGGTAATTGCAGTGGAGGTTTCGCCTCGGTAATAGAATGTTGATGAGCGAGATGGAGAATTCAGATTTAATCTGGAGATCGATGTGCCGCTGATGCGTGCGTGAGCTCCTTGTTCCTTGTTCTGGCCCTTCGGCGGTCAGAGAGAATCCTCGTTTTATCATGTATGAAGTTCTGTCGGCGAGGAATCCGGGAACTCTCCGCCACATTGTCGGGTTATTAGGAGGCTTAAGACATCTTTGTGTGCGGTAATTAGACGCCATGGGATCGCCGGCGAGCAAGACGGATCATGTGGGAGCGCGCTATGTATCCCCGTTAATTACGTGTCCAGGAAACTGGCTGGTTGCCGGGAGAGTATCCCGAGTCTTGTACAAAACCCGACGCGAGAACATTTCCCTGTATCGGCATGTTTTTCCGTCTCATTGGGGGGTCGGTCTGGACACGCCAAGGACGATGCGCCGAGTGCGCTGACCTTGGTGCGTTCTGACTGGTTGCTATGGGTTACTACGGTCCACAGACTGTCCCTGCCTTCCTGAGTGAGAAGAAATTTGTGCACGACACTGAATTACATTCCTAACATTTTCTTTATAATTATTCCGATACAATGTAAAGATAAAATAAGAAAACTAACGAGTGACGGGATGAGTACGGTTCCTGCGTGGTCCTCTGCAGCCGAAATCACATCTGAATGTTATAGGAATCCTATAATGTATAATATAACATAACTCCAGCCAAGCAGCTAAGAGTCACATCCATGGTAACTTTATTACCTGCCAATGTGAGTAGTTCAGTTCAGCCAGTCTTCTGACCCCTGCCCTACTACATGAACTACAAAAGCTACATAACCCCTTTAAATGATTTCTTCCCACATAAACCATTCAGCTCTCTCCCCAATGTTTATAAACAATGTTACTTTGTATCTCTCTATCTCCCGCTGATCAATGTGTATAAACAATGTTACTTTGTATCTCTCTATCTCCCTCTGATCAATGTTTATATACAATGTTACTTTGTATCTCTCTATCTCCCTCTGATCAATGTTTATAAACAATGTTACTTTGTATCTCTCTATCTCCCTCTGAACAATGTTTATAAACAATGTTACTTTGTATCTCTCTATCTCACCACACATTTCTCAAGCATGGTCCACCATTTGTAGTATCAGGAAGCTGATCTAGAGGAAGGATGTGCAGCTGTTGTTGGAGGGAGTGTATGTAGACAGGAAGAGGCTACAAAGATTGTGTAAAGGATGAAAAAATGTGAAAGCAGAATTTTATGAAAAGAACACGCCAGTTGTGTATGATATGCAGTACTCAGAGAAATCTAAATGTATGTCCCTTTGGGGCTGAGATCTGCATTCATTCCAGCCCCCATGTGTCTAAACCTATTCCTTTTAAGCTCCCAGTGGCTGAAATATGTTAGCATGGCTGCATTGTGTAGTGTAGTGGGGCCTAGTGGTGTTGCAGTGCTGGCACTTCCATCGGGGTCTGGTTTGCAGAGATATATAGGAAATGTATGAAGATCTAGATTAGAAGTAATGATAGTAGAAATACTTCATACATTCAGCCAGTCAGGTTTTACATGCCCGGAGTTCTTCTTTATGGCAGCGCTCAGCTGTGCTTCTGTGTCATATTTTTTTCTCTTTTCTGCGTTTCTGGGTAGCAGCTTGCATCGTCTTGGCCCTGAATAGGGTACATTATCAGAGTCAGAATTAGTAACCTATAATAACACGCTTGATATATGTAACAATTAACATGTCATGGCCGCCCAGAGTGAGAGAAATAATCGGATTCTTCTTCTCCCCTCATGCAGAACTAAACCCGTGGCTGTGTAACTTCACCTATGGAGATGTTCAGGACTTCTCGCAGCTGGCGCTGGACCCCAACCGCAACCAACTCATTGTCGGAGCCAGGTAACACTCATGTGTTTGTGCCTGCCCATCCATCCGTCCATGTGTCCATCCACCCATGAATACATCTGTCAATCCATCCATCCATTCATCCCTCATCCATCCATCCCTCCCTCATCCATCCATTCCTCATCTATCCATCCCTCCCTCATCCATCCATCCATCCCTCCCTCATCCATCCATTCCTCATCTATCCATCCTGTCCATCTATCCATCCATCCCTCATCCATTCCTCATGTATCCCTCCATCATATATTTACCTGTCCGTCTATCCATCCATCCAACCATGAATACATCTGTCAATCCATCCATTCCTCATCCATCCATTCCTCATCTATCCACCCTGTCCGTCTATGCATCCACCCATGAATACATCTGTCAATCCATCCATCCCTCATCCATCTATCTACGCATCATCCATGCATTGAACCATCCATCCCTCTTCCTACTTTCCTTTCACCCATCTCACCATCCCTCCATCTGTCCACCCATTGTATCCATCCATCTTCTACCTTCTATACAGGCATCCATCCATCCTGCCAGTCCATCCATCCATTCCTCTCCCTTTGATCAGTCCATCCATCTATCCATCCTTCCCTTCCTCTACCTTCTATACAACCATCCATCCATCCCTCCTGCGAGTCCATCCCTCCCTCCCTCATTCTTTCATTTTAGATTGTCTCTTCTATATCCTGTGTATGTTATCTGTATACTATGTCTATGTGAAGGAGGTGTGGGGTTGTCTTCCTGTCCGAGGACAGTGATCTCCGTCATCTACTTCCTATATGTTGATCTTCGTGTTGGAGGATGAGTCCGTCATGGGCATGTCCCAGGCGCGGCGGCCATTTTTTCGTTGTTATTTCCCGGGCCCGATAACAGATCTGTCCTGTGCGGTTGGATTTAATTGGCCGACGCTTCCTCCCGCGCTGCGGATACCTCGTCAGTGTGACAGTCTGTTGGCAGATATTCTTATTGCGATGCCATTGCGTTCCCTGCAGGAAAGTTCCGCTGTCATTGAACGCCATGTGCGTGTGCACGTGCGGCGGGGCCGGGGTGCTGATTGAGCATCTCTGGCCGCCTCGCGGTGCCAGCTGTACCTGCCTCCTGTAATACACCCGTAATGTTATTCGGTGCTGTCGGCGCTGAGCCAGCGAAGATTATCCCCCCCCTCCCCCCGATCCCACGAGCTGAGCGCCCGCCGTCTCTCGTGACTTCGCTTAATCACATAATCTGCACTTTGCTGAGTCAGCACAACGCGCCCTGTGATCGACGACGGAGAGCCGTACCACCTCCAGGACCGTGCCCGCTGGCATGATGGCAATTACTGGACGTGTCTGCGGGCCGTCGCTCATTGATTTGTCGGTTTAAAGACACTTCGGGGACTTCGGTGGAGAAAACATTTCAGCGTGTGAGGCGGAAAAAAACAATGACCTGCACGCGACTTAAAGTGGACCTGTCATTAAAATGTACACTTCGCATCCATCAGCCGGACACGTCTCAGCATTAGAAAATCACATTGTTATTTGGAGTAAAAACTATTTCTGTCATTTACCTCCCTCGCTTGTCATGTAGAAAAGTGCAGCCCGCACGTCACCTGAAGCCTGGGCACGGCTAGGCCAATGGCTGCTAGTGCCTTGTGGCTGTTTCATAATATTAGAGCTTTATATACTGTATGTATATATCATATATGGAAATAATAATTCTAACACTATAATAACAGTGACAGTGTGTGTGTGTGTGTGTGTGTGTGTGTATATATATATACACACTATATTGCCAAAAGTATTGGGACGCCTTTACACGCACAAAAACTCTAATGGCATCCCAGTCTTAGTCCGTAGGGTTCAGTATTGGGTTGGCTCCGCCCTTTGCCGCTATAACAGCTCCGCCCCTTTTCTGGGAAGGCGTTCACAAGGTTTAGGAGTGTGTCTATGGGAATGTTGGACCATTTGTGAGGTCAGGTACTGATGTTGGGGGAGGGGCTCGCAGTCTCTGCTCTCATTCATCCCAAAGGTGTTCTATGGGGTTGAGATCAGGACTCTGTGCGGCCAGTCACGTTCCCCCACCCCCAAACTCCCCCATCCGTGTCTTTATGGACCTTGCTTTGTGCGCTGGTGCGCAGTCATGTTGGAACAGGAAGGGGCCGTCCCCAAACTCCTCCCCCCAAACTTTGCACAATGCAGTCAGGCAAGTACCGTTCTCCTGGCAACCGCCAAACCCAGACACGTCCATCGGATTGCCAGACAGAGAAGCGTGATTGGTCACTCCAGAGAACACGTCTCCACTTCTCTAGAGTCCAGTGGCGGCGTGCTTTACACCACGGCACCCCACGCTTTGCATTGCACTTGGTGATGTGCGGCTTGGATGCAGCTGCTCGGCCATGGAGACCCATTCCATGAAGCTCTCTACGCACTGTTGTTGTGCCAATCTGAAGGCCGCATGAAGTTTGGAGGTCTGTAGCTATTGACTCTGCAGACAGTTGGCGACTTCTGCGCACTGTGCGCTTCAGCATGCGCTGACCCCGCTGTGTCATGTGACGTGGCCGACCACTTCCTGGCTGAGTTGCTGTTGTTCCCAGTTGCTTCCACTTTGTTATAATCCCAGTAACAGGTGACCGCGGAATATTTAGTAGCCGGGAAATGTCACGGAACACCTGAATCCAATGATTTGAAGAGGGAGGGGCCCAATACTTTTGGCAATATAGTGTATATATATATATTTATATATTGATATAATGAATTACATTGAGCTGATCACTTTCACACAACTGTCTGTAAGACTTTAAAAAAAAAGTTCTTCAAAGCCGACGACATTTCAGAATAAAATTTTAATTTTGTGCAGCAATGAATGATCACCACCTTCTATCATTATGCAAATTCTTCATCCCTTTCATGTGATCGCTGCCAGAGGATCGTAATGAGGTGGAGCCAAATAATCAGCCTGCGGACCTGTCAGTAACAATACAAGTCTCCAAGAATAAATCCCTGACATGTCACAATACACAGTAATAGGATCAGGAAAGCTCCGCCTCTTATCATTAAAAGCCGTCCTTGAGCTCCAATCAGTGACTCTGCCTAGGCTGAGATGATGTCATCAGTCTGCTGCAGGCAGGGGGATGCATTTCCTCGGTCTCCTCTCCCCCAGTGATCAGTCTGCTGCAACATTGTAACTTTGTTGTAAGTCACAAGGTGAGAGGCTGCAGCAGGGGCTGATCTGTGTCAGATCAGCCCCTGTGGCAGATGATGGCAGAGAAGCAGATGAAAGCATTGGCAGGGCAAGTGCTGTGATCGGTGAGAGGGCTTGATCACACCGTGTGCAGTGGCACATAGAACACAACTGTGCCGTTTGCTCCATAATGGAGAGGAGAAGTGGAAAGATACATCAGGTCTACAGTTGTTTTTTTCTGCGCTACAATGGAGCTCTTCTGAAGTCTCCACACTGGTGCACAGATATTACTAAAATGTCACTTTGTGACATTTCAATAAAGTTTAAAAAAAAAAAAGCTTTATAATGCCTTGCATTGTAAAAAAGCAAGGCACTGTCCCCCATCGCCAGCACCACCGCCCTACTTCCGGTGTTCTGTCGAAATGGCCAACTCGTCGAGATCTCCAACTCGTAACGTCGCATCCGTTAGAGATTGACGAGATGGCGCTAGTGCGCGCGCGCCAGCCCTGGCGTTTTTCCAACCCTCGTCGACTTGCCCTAAGTGCGCCGTTGCTTCCTCGCCATCCTCATCGAGTTCTCCAACTGGAGGACCGATATAGTGAGCGGCTCTGAGAAGTAATAAATATCTGATACATTGCTCAACCTGCTGCGCCTCACATGAAACAATGTATCAGTCACCTGACCTCTCAGGCTCCTCGCGGTTTGAATGAAATGCGCACATGCTGCAGTCACTAATCAGGCTGATAGGATCGTTCCGCGTCAAACAGATTGCGGCAGAGAATCGGATCGCGGCGTTCCTTCCCTAATTCCCGTTTTCCACTCTCTCCTCACCGGCAGATCAATAAGATGATTCACTGCTGAGTTCACGTCGGTATTTTTTTCTTTCGCTCTCGGCGGCCTCGCCGCCCCGGATCGCTCCATCGCGAGTTCACAGCCAGTCATGTAAAGACGTCTGATTAAAGCCAGCGCCTCACGCGGAGACAGGACGCCGGAGATCACAGCGCTCAAATTGCTCTGTAAAATATTCATCATCCCGAGGGGCTTGTTCCCGCTTTTATTATACATCACGTTAAACGCCGCGTCTTCGCGAATGATCAGCCGCACCGTTAATGCTGCATCTCAGCGACGCGGCGCCTCGTACGGATGAGGCCGCCAGGGGGGGAATTGCAGATCTGCCCCCCTTGTCGCAGAGGGCGAGCGCGTCTCGTATCTGTAGACGCGTCTTCCCTGTGACGGCATTCGTGCAGAAATTAGAGCGAGTCTCTGGTCGCCGCTGGCAACAGCGCAGTTATTCCTCAACGTACGGAAAATCTGAACAAGACATTTAAACGCCCCAAAAATGTATCAAGAATGGAGCAGCTGTGCACGGCAGCCAATCAGCTTCTCTCTTCAGTCTGTTCAGTTAAGATTTGAAAGTGAAAGAGAGAAGCTGATTGGTTGCCGTGCACTGCTGCTCCAGATTTGCTAAATTCCCCTCATTATGCGCATGCGCGCCTTCTAACGCCATGGTGTGAATGAGCCCTGAGACGGCCGTTATGTCAGTTACTTGATCGATTACCAATAACGCTAATATCGGCGGCCACACACGTAGCGATTGGTGATCGATCGAGAAACGAGCCATCGCAAACGCGCATTTCATCATTGATAGAAATATCGGACGACGCAACGCGCGCACATTATCGCTCCACGCTTTGTGGTCAGCAGAAAATATTGATCGAATACACGATCTATCCGCTATAAATCTGATTGATTCATTGACTAAAAATGATCCTTTAATTGATCTGCGTTGTGATCGGTTCTCAGGCAGATCGATCAGAAGCGATTGCCCAAATTCCACCGCGGCCAATCAAGTCTCATCCCAGGAAGAGCTCAGTGAATCGACTGAACGGAGAGACTTTGGTTGCTTCTAAGAAGAGTGTATGTATAAAGTCACTCGCACTCCAATAGAGTGACTTCCTCCGCGACGTCTCATGTGAAGGGGCGGCGGAATGCGGGCGGATTTGCAAAAAACATAAAACAGTCTGAACTCCCCCAAATGCCGGTTATTCTTCTCTGTGGATGGGTGGTGAAGATGATGAGATGTGATGTGAGGTGATGATGATGTGATGTCAGGTGGTGATGATGTGATGTGAGGTGATGATGATATGTGATATGATGATGGTGATGTGATGTCAGGTGGTGATTATGTGAGGTGATAATGACGATGGTTGTGATGTGAGGTGATGATGTGATGTCAGGTGATGATGATAGGTGATGATGTGATGTGAGGGGATGATGATGGTGGTGGTGACGATGTGATGTCAGGTGATGATGATGGTGGTGGTGATGATGATGGTGGTGGTGATGATGTGATGTCAGGTGGTGATGATGGTGGTGATGAGATGATGATATGTGATATATGATGTGATGATGGTGATGTGATGTCAGGTGGTGATGATGGTGATGTGATGATATGATGATGATGATGTGATGTCAGGTGATGATGATGGTGATGTCAGGTGGTGATGATGGTGGTGGTGATGTGATGATATGATGATGATGATGTGATGTCAGGTGATGATGATGTGATGATATGATGATGGTGATGTGATGTCAGGTGATGATGATGGTGATGTCAGGTGATGATGATGGTGATGTGATGTCAGGTGGTGATGATGGTGGTGGTGATGATGTGATGATGATGTGATGATATGATGATGGTGATGTGATGTCAGGTGGTGATGTGATGTCAGGTGATGATGATAGGTGAGGTGATGATGTGATGTCAGGTGGTGATGATGGTGATGTGATGTCAGGTGATGATGATGGTGATGTGATGTCAGGTGATGATGATGGTGATGTGATGTCAGGTGGTGATGATAGGTGAGGTGATGATGGTGATGTGATGTCAGGTGGTGATGTGATGTCAGGTGATGATGATAGGTGAGGTGATGATGTGATGTCAGGTGGTGATGTGATGTCAGGTGATGATGATAGGTGAGATGGTGATGTGATGTCAGGTGGTGATGATGGTGATGTGATGTCAGGTGGTGATGGTGGTGAGGTGATGTCAGGTGGTGATGATGGTGAGGTGATGTCAGGTGGTGATGATGGTGATGTGATGTCAGGTGGTGATGGTGATGTGATGTCAGGTGATGATGATGGTGATGTCAGGTGGTGATGATGGTGATGTGATGTCAGGTGATGATGATGGTGATGTCAGGTGGTGATGATGGTGATGTGATGTCGGGGTGAATGATTTGGGTTCTTGCAGGTAATTGATTTTTCCGTCTCTCACACTTGTGTTCTATTTTGTCTGTTGCAGGAACTTCCTCTTCCGGCTCAGTCTCTTCAACATCTCCCTCGTGCAGGTAAGTGCGCGCTCACCCGGCCGCTCTCTTGTGTAAACTTTGTCTTCAGCCGCAGGAAAAGTGTTTCTGAAAATAAAGTGATTTGCAAATATTTGGCTCCGGTTAATGCCGACGGTGAGACCAGCTTTGCATGAGCTTCAGGCGTGTGATTGTTCCATTGAGGTATATCGGACATCCATCCCTCTGCCTTCCATCCATCCCTCTGCCTTCCATCCATCCCTCTTCCATCCATCCCTCTGCCTTCCATCCATCCCTCTGCCTTCCATCCATCCCTCTGCCTTCCATCCATCCCTCTGCCTTCCATCAATCCCTCTTCCATCCATCCCTCTGCCTTCCATCCATCCCTCTGCCTTCCATCCATCCCTCTGCCTTCCATCAATCCCTCTGCCTTCCATCCCTCTGCCTTCCATCCATCAGGCCTTCCATCCCTCTGCCTTCCATCCATCCCTCTGCCTTCCATCCCTCTGCCTTCCATCCATCAGGCCTTCCAACCCTCTGCCTTCCATCCCATTTAATTACATCTATCCGTCAGTTCGTCTATTTACCATTACTTCTTCTTTCCATCAATCTATCCATTTCTTTTCCTTCAGTCTATACAAGGATCTCATCATCCCTCTTCCTTCAATCAGTCCATCCATCCCTCTGCCTTCCATCCATCCCTCTTCCTTCCATCCATCCCTCTTCCTTCAATCAGTCCATCCATCCCTCTGCCTTCCATCCATCCCTCTTCCTTCCATCCATCCCTCTTCCATCCATCCCTCTTCCTTCAATCAGTCCATCCATCCATCTATTTATTGATCCATCCATCCATCTATTTGTCAATCCTTTCATCTATTTCCCTCTTCCTTTGATCAGTCCACCCATCTCCTTCTTTTGATCAACCCATGAATTCACCCATCGATCTTTCTTCCCTCAGTCCATCCATCCATCCCTCTTCCTTCCATCCATCCCTCTGCCTTCCACCCATCCCTCTACCTTCAAACATTCCATCTTTGATCAGTCCATCCAAGCATGCACCCATCTGTCCCTCTTCCATCAGTCAGTCCATCCATCCATGCACCCATCTTCACTCAGTATGTCCGAGCTTCCCTCTTCCTTCCATGCATCCACTTGTTTACCAGGGACCCAAAATATACTGTAAGAGAGGAAATGCAAACAAAGCTAATAAACTTTCTCAAAGCTCTGTACACTGTGCCAGGAAATGGGGGGAGGGGTTGAATTCTGCCACTGCAGGGTTTGTAGTCTCCTCGTGCCAGTTTTTAGTGACTGTTTCACTGACAGGTTCTCTTTACATTGTGTCTCAGAGGTTGGCTGCCCGTTGCTGTGTCCTTTGCTTGCTCTGATTCCTGTATACTTCTCCTCCTCTCCTCGATCTCACCTCCGGCGCCATCTACCCTTCATGTGTCTCTTCTGCCTCCCGTCCGCCCTGACAGGAGACACCGTGTTTCCCCGAAAATAAGACACTGTCTTATATTTTTGGGGGCTCAAAAGAACACACACGGTCTTATTTTCGGGGTAGGTCTTATTTTTTTTTTTTTATGTACAACAATCCGCACGTATTCATGTAGAAAAATATGGTGATCAGGGCAATCAGGGGGCGCCGCACCTTTCCAAGAGCAATTTGGTAACCAATCGCTGGCCAGAATGAGCAAAGCGCGCTTTCACTATGGATTCCTCACAGGCGGAGCGCATTTGGTATCACTCCGCCTGTGACAGGAGGCGGGGCTATAGAGGAGGCATCGGCTTATGCGGCTCTGCTCCCTCCGGTGCCGCCTCGCTTCCTCTAGCGCCGGCTTCGTTGGCACCGCTGATTCTCTCCCGCGGCTCTTCAGGTTCCCCCTTATGCCACCACCGGCCCTGGGAATGGTCACAGCTAGGTCTTATTTTCAGGGTAGGTCTTATATTTGAGCAATTCCCAAAAATGGTGCTAGGTCTTATTTTCGGGGAAACAGGGTAGTTGTTCCCTTTTAAAATAACATTCTACATCCTCCCCAATAGTCACAGCCGTGCTCCTAATTCGAGTATCGCGCGTGACCATGAGTGGTGGCATTTGTTGTCACAAACCTGAATGTCCCAGTTTGAGGAATCCCTCTGCTATGGAGAAAAGGTTGGGATCGGAGTACTGCAGGTTTTCTGTTTTTGGCCAGATATTGAGCTTTAGCAGCTTGGTGAAGGTAGGGAGGATCCCCTGGTCATCCTTCACCTGCAGATTTTCTCCTGTGCTGCCCCTCGTTCATGGATCTCCTCACATCATTGGACTCCCTCCCAGCTTTACGTCCTTCAGCTGCTGTTGCCTCCCAGCTAACCCGACGTTCCAACCTTGGCCAGTGGACGTCTTTAGTCCTACTCGACCAATCTGCAGCCGGTTGTAGACATCAGAGCTCGGTCACATGCGCTGGTATTAGCCAACTGCCTAAAAATATCTCCGAACCGCCTTCAGGTATTATCCCGTACAGTCAGATCACCTGAAGTACATGTTTTATGCTACGGGAGGGGAAGGGCTTGTAGGCTTTTCTGGAATTTGATGAATAAGATTTTTCGGCCTGTACAATCAATGTTTTATTGCTAGAAGGGTCATTAGATCGTCACATGATTGGCCGTGATCCTCCAGGGGCTGTGATCCTGTATGGGCCATTATCCTGCATGGGTTGTGATCCTGCATGGGTTGTGATCGTGCATGGGTTGTGATCCTGCATGGGTAGTGATCCTGCATGGGTTGTGATTCCTGCATGGGTTGTGATCCTGCATGGGTTGTGATCCTGCATGGGTTGTGATCCTGCATGGGTTGTGATCCTGCATGGGTTGTGATCCTGCATGGGTTGTGATCCTGCATGGGTTGTGATCCTGCATGGGTTGTGATCCTGCATGGGTTGTGATCCTGCATGGGTTGTGATCCTGCATGGGTTGTGATCCTGCATGGGTTGTGATCCTGCATGGGTTGTGATCCTGCATGGGTTGTGATCCTGCATGGGTTGTGATCCTGCATGGGTTGTGATCCTGCATGGGTTGTGATCCTGCATGGGTTGTGATCCTGCATGGGTTGTGATCCTGCATGGGTTGTGATCCTGCATGGGTTGTGATCCTGCATGGGTTGTGATCCTGCATGGGTTGTGATCCTGCATGGGTTGTGATCCTGCATGGGTTGTGATCCTGCATGGGTTGTGATCCTGCATGGGTTGTGATCCTGCATGGGTTGTGATCCTGCATGGGTTGTGATCCTGCATGGGTTGTGATCCTGCATGGGTTGTGATCCTGCATGGGTTGTGATCCTGCATGGGTTGTGATCCTGCATGGGTTGTGATCCTGCATGGGTTGTGATCCTGCATGGGTTGTGATCCTGCATGGGTTGTGATCCTGCATGGGTTGTGATCCTGCATGGGTTGTGATCCTGCATGGGTTGTGATCCTGCATGGGTTGTGATCCTGCATGGGTTGTGATCCTGCATGGGTTGTGATCCTGCATGGGTTGTGATCCTGCATGGGTTGTGATCCTGCATGGGTTGTGATCCTGCATGGGTTGTGATCCTGCATGGGTTGTGATCCTGCATGGGTTGTGATCCTGCATGGGTTGTGATCCTGCATGGGTTGTGATCCTGCATGGGTTGTGATCCTGCATGGGTTGTGATCCTGCATGGGTTGTGATCCTGCATGGGTTGTGATCCTGCATGGGTTGTGATCCTGCATGGGTTGTGATCCTGCATGGGTTGTGATCCTGCATGGGTTGTGATCCTGCATGGGTTGTGATCCTGCATGGGTTGTGATCCTGCATGGGTTGTGATCCTGCATGGGTTGTGATCCTGCATGGGTTGTGATCCTGCATGGGTTGTGATCCTGCATGGGTTGTGATCCTGCATGGGTTGTGATCCTGCATGGGTTGTGATCCTGCATGGGTTGTGATCCTGCATGGGTTGTGATCCTGCATGGGTTGTGATCCTGCATGGGTTGTGATCCTGCATGGGTTGTGATCCTGCATGGGTTGTGATCCTGCATGGGTTGTGATCCTGCATGGGTTGTGATCCTGCATGGGTTGTGATCCTGCATGGGTTGTGATCCTGCATGGGTTGTGATCCTGCATGGGTTGTGATCCTGCATGGGTTGTGATCCTGCATGGGTTGTGATCCTGCATGGGTTGTGATCCTGCATGGGTTGTGATCCTGCATGGGTTGTGATCCTGCATGGGTTGTGATCCTGCATGGGTTGTGATCCTGCATGGGTTGTGATCCTGCATGGGTTGTGATCCTGCATGGGTTGTGATCCTGCATGGGTTGTGATCCTGCATGGGTTGTGATCCTGCATGGGTTGTGATCCTGCATGGGTTGTGATCCTGCATGGGTTGTGATCCTGCATGGGTTGTGATCCTGCATGGGTTGTGATCCTGCATGGGTTGTGATCCTGCATGGGTTGTGATCCTGCATGGGTTGTGATCCTGCATGGGTTGTGATCCTGCATGGGTTGTGATCCTGCATGGGTTGTGATCCTGCATGGGTTGTGATCCTGCATGGGTTGTGATCCTGCATGGGTTGTGATCCTGCATGGGTTGTGATCCTGCATGGGTTGTGATCCTGCATGGGTTGTGATCCTGCATGGGTTGTGATCCTGCATGGGTTGTGATCCTGCATGGGTTGTGATCCTGCATGGGTTGTGATCCTGCATGGGTTGTGATCCTGCATGGGTTGTGATCCTGCATGGGTTGTGATCCTGCATGGGTTGTGATCCTGCATGGGTTGTGATCCTGCATGGGTTGTGATCCTGCATGGGTTGTGATCCTGCATGGGTTGTGATCCTGCATGGGTTGTGATCCTGCATGGGTTGTGATCCTGCATGGGTTGTGATCCTGCATGGGTTGTGATCCTGCATGGGTTGTGATCCTGCATGGGTTGTGATCCTGCATGGGTTGTGATCCTGCATGGGTTGTGATCCTGCATGGGTTGTGATCCTGCATGGGTTGTGATCCTGCATGGGTTGTGATCCTGCATGGGTTGTGATCCTGCATGGGTTGTG